TAAAGCGTGTAAGGGGGTGTTGTGGGGGGTTTTAAATGTATAGGAGGGATAGCTTGTAAGTTAAACATGGCTTACCAACCTAAAGCATAGTTTAACTTCTACTTGCATATCTGTCCTTCCATAGATATACCAAACTAATAAATTTAGACACTTTTTATAAATAGCTAATGGGATCAAATAGAATCAATACATGAAGGAATGATAGCAAGTGTGTCTTGATGGACATAGTAAGTTATTAACCAATAAGTATTAAGGGATTAAGCTCAATATTGAGGGGGTTCCCAACACTAGCAAGTGTATACTAATAAATGAGTTTCTCTAACCAAATCAAGTATACTTGATTAATACCACTTAGTAATTTTGTCCTTATACTTTTTTGGCCAAATGCACATGCCAAGATTAATTTCTCAACTAACTTGGGTGGAGATTGAAAAAGGGTCTAATAATACTAACTTCTTACCATTATGACAAGGAAGAATATCTAAAAAGACTTACCAATAAGTAATTTTTGATACCCACAATCACATTCATGACAAAGAAAAACATAGTCACATTCATGACAAAGAAGAAAAATAGATTGAACTCTAAAATGTAAAAAAACCCAAAATTTATTTTTGAGAGAAGCTTCTTAAATACATTTGAAGTTTCCCGACGAGTAAGTCTTTCTTAATGAGAAAGACAAAATCAAAATTTTCCATTAGGAAATATAAAATAAATATTTCCTTTCAGGAAGACATTTTTCTTGCTAAGATTTTGTCCCCTTGGAATATTCATCTCCCATCAGTAAATTCATCTAGATGGAAAATATGTATCTATCAAATGTTTTCTAAAACTTTGTGAATGTAAATATTTCATGTTTTTGAATTACTCTTTCAATTGTTATTAGCATTTAGGTGGGAGATCACCGTATCCATTAGGTATTCACATGTGGGATGACCATCTGGTATACAATTATGCATAATAAATCTTATTTATTTGTTCCTTAATGATTGGCTATTCATACTTAGTATTACATATGTCCTACCATAGCCCATGCCACTCAAAGCAGCTCCAGCATAGGAATTTTGCAATTTAAAGTTCAAAAATGTAAAGATAAAGAGAAAATTATATTTTCCCTAAAGAATTCCAAGAAAGAATATTCAATTTGAAAGGTAAAACGTAATTTTCCCAAATATATAAATGGGTTACTTAGTGTGGGGAATCGTTCGAGTATATAAACCCTCGCCGTGGAAGAGAGCATCTTCAACTTCTCCACGACTTCGGCGTGCGGGCATAGAAGGGATATAGATGCGCCGATGGGTTGCTCCTCTAGAAATAGATAAGAGATGCGATAGATCGGATAGATTATGAGGAGCTCTACAGGATTCTTCTATCTCCCGGGCAGGCTCCTGGCTTTGATGCTATGGATTCACGCTGCGGTAAGGCATATCCTCGAGAGATTGTCGTGGCCGCCGCGATTGAGGCAGCAGCGCGACGCGGAAATCTCCGGGAATTCCAGGAGGGAGAGCTTCTTGAAAGAGTTTGGGGGTTATTATGGCTACGCGGATGGCCCAGTTCCAATCGATCGTCTCCGGAGTACTGAATTTGCTCGTTTGAAAGGTATGAAACGTTTTTTCTTCTTTGCAATAACTCTTTACTTGAAAAACTTTCCCTTTGTTCTTCACAGGGACAATTTACTTGGACCATGCGGGCGCCACATTGTATTCCAGCAGTCAGCTCCAGGAGGCTCTCGCGGATTATAGCGGCCAGGTCTATGGAAATCCTCGTAAGTTCTAGCAGCTTGTTCGTATTTTTTTTCTAACTTAGAGAAAACCATAGACAGTCAAAGTGATAGTAGCATGAGGAGTTCTCACACAATTGAATCTACCAGACAACAGGTGAGGTAAAATCTTGGCAGCAGTACTAACAACTTTCTGTTTCCTCTCTCAGGTTCTTGAGTATTTCCATGCTCCAGCCAGTGATTATGCTTGCGTTTTTACTTCCGGTGCTACAGCTGCGCTGAAACTTGTTGGAGAGACGTTTCCATGGAGCTCTGGTGGCCATTTTTGCTATACTTTGGCAAATCACAACAGTGTGCTCGGAATACGAGAGTAAGCATTCTATTCGAGCACTTCCGCTTTGCTAATTCTTTTTCTTGCTAACAAAAGGTACGCTCTCGAAAAGGGAGCAACTGCAATCCCCGTGAGTATCAGTAACCAGGGAGAAGTTGTACTGGCGAGTGCAGGACTAAAGCGGAAAAATGTCTCTCTGCACGATGGTATGTCATTATTGATTTTGTAGTTCTTAGGCAATTTTTGTTATGGTTGTAGATGACGAAGAGACATACAATCTTTTCGCAATGCCTACTGAGTGTAACTTTTCGGGCGCAAAATTTCCAATGGACCTGGTTGAGCGCATCAAAGATGGCCAACATATGAATGGGACCAGGTACCACCATCGTTTTGGTATTTCTTACAGGTCATCTTTAGCTTTGACAAATCATAGAGGGCGCTGGATGGTTCTACTTGATGCAGCAAAAAGCGCTGGAACTTCTCCACCTGATCTTTCTCGTTATCCTGCCGATTTTGTAGTTGTATCTTTCTATAAGGTATTCTTCTTTCCTGTTGTCTGAAAGTTTCTAAAGCTTCCTCTAATAGATATTTGGATATCCTACCGGACTTGGTGCTCTTATTGTTCGACGTGGTAAGTAAATGTCACTTCGTTGCTGTGTCTGAAATCAGAATGTTTCCAGAAGCTGGCAAAGTCTTAAATCAGAAGTATTTTGGAGGAGGTAATCTACTCGCAAGCTTAAGCACTTTTCTGACTGTTTCATGGAACAGGCACTGTTGCGGTGTCTATAGCGGACATTGATTATGTGAAAAGACGAGAAAGTCTAGAGCAACGCATGGAAGATGGCACAATATCGTTTCTAAGCATCAGAGCTTTGCGTTACGGGTTTATGATGATCAACAGAATGGGAATCAGTTCTATTGCCAGGTAGACTGCTTATTTGTTTCCCAGCAGTCCTCTACACTTTTGTTTACCAGGCACACTTGGGCCTTAACACATTACACATCTCGTTCACTGCGTAATTTGAAGCATGGAAACGGTGCTCCCGTGTGTTTTATGTTTGGCAATCACGGAGTTTTTCAGGTAACCAGGCTGCACATGTAAATCTAACTGAGTACAGTTCAGACTTTTGCAGAAGAGTTTCGAATCCAAGGTCCGGTTATTACGTTCAATCTGAAACGTGCTGATGGCTCTTGGGTCGGTCATCGCGAAGTTGAGAAAGTTGCGTCTTTGTGCCGGATTCATCTTCGAGTGAGTAAAAGAACCTTTTGTTTTTCAAATATTGATTGGTTGCCTTTGTTTCAGACTGGTTGCTTTTGTAATCCTGGAGCTTGTGCAAAGTATCTTGACCTTTCAAACAAGGACATGCAGGCCAACTTCGAGGTGATGAATCTTAACGTTTTCCAAGTTTATTTTAAAAAAATAAAATTTTCAGGCGGGGCATGTTTGCTGGGATGATCAGGATCTGATCTCCGGAAGACCAACAGGAGCTGTTCGCATTTCGTTTGGATATATGTCCACTTTCCAGGACTGTCAGGTAACAAGTTGCGTGTTTCCAGCTTTCTTACTCTGTTCATCTGCAGGCTTTCCTCAAGTTCGTTCGAAAGTACTTTGTAGAAACTACTTACACACAGGAAGCCAAGAATTTAAGAAGTAAAGATACAATCCCGGCAGCGGTGCGTCTCAAGTCTATTACAGTGTATCCTATTAAGTCATGTGCTGGCTTTAGTGTTGAGACATGGCCTATCGTCGAGTCAGGTAAACATTTTAGAGTGGTGTACCATCAGTAACAGCACTTTCCAGGTCTACTTTATGACAGGGAGTGGATGATATGTGACACCGAGAATGCTCCCGTGACACAGAAAAAGGTTTGTCCATCTTCTTGAGAAACAATGCTTTTGCTAACAGTTTTCTGTTCCAGGCTCACAACATGTGCTTGATTACTCCGTCTATCGATTTGGGATCGGGGAAACTCGTTGTCCGTGCTCCAAATGTTGATCATGCACTTGAAATACCGTTGGAGGAAAGATTACAGCACGAGGAACATGGAGAAGTTATTTTATGTGGACAAAGGTTACTCTGTGTTCTATGTTCTTTCTGGTTTTTGTTTTGCTCATTAGTTGCTGCAGGGCTAAATCGATGTCATACGGGACAGACATCTCTGAGTGGTTCACGAAAGCATTAGGATTGCGGTGTAACTTGGTTCGAAAAGGTGTCGAGAATACCAGAGTATGCAGATGGAGAAATCCAGAACATTCGCCTGAAGGAGGTGATAAGTTAAGTTTCGCAAACGAAGGCCAGTTTTTACTCCTGTCGGAAGCCAGTGTGGAAGACCTCAATGCACGAATAGCTACCGGTAAAATTCTCTTCTCCGAAAACGAATAAACGAAACTCTTCTATTCAGGTGCCAAACATCGACTAGAGACAACACAGTTTCGGCCAAATCTCGTTGTTTCGGGTGGACCTGCTTACGAGGAAGATGAATGGCAGTCACTCTCAATTGGCGACGCGGAGTTTCCCGTAAGTTCCATTTCTTGGGATGGTCACAAGATAGATAGTTCCAGTTCTAACGATGATCACAAGATACTCACAGGTCTTAGGTGGATGCAATCGCTGCCAGATGATCACAATCGACCAGAAAACCGGTGCGAAAAATCCTAGTATGGAGCCTCTTGCAACTCTCGCATCTTACAGGCGGACAAAGGTAAGCTAACTTCAAGCTTTCTATTCGATAATTTCTTACAGAGTTCTTCCATGGTTTGTTCGTTTGTTTCTTTTGTTCTTTCTCACGCAGGGAAAGATCTTGTTTGGAGTGCTCCTGGGCGCGGCAATCTCAGACAAGCGCGACCAGTTCCTGGCCGTCGGATCCCGCGTCATCGGACGGTAGGGCAGCCCATGTAAAAATCTCCAAATTTTTACAAAACTCTAAAAAGAATATGCTTAGGGCTTGAGGTGAGAACGAGGCTTCCCCCGCTAGGAGGAGGAATGGCGGCGGGCGCTGGCGGGATTTGGAGCGCGTGAGTGGCTGTGATCGATCGCGCGCCTCCGCCAGTGCATGCGGATCGCCGCGCATCGGCCATGTCCGATCTGGACCGCCAGATTGAGCAGCTGAAGCGATGCGAGCCGCTCAAGGAGTCGGAGGTGAAGGCGCTGTGCCTCAAGGCCATGGAAATCCTGGTGGAGGAGAGCAATGTCCAGAGAGTAGACGCTCCAGTGACGGTGAGTGAAATAGTAGAACACTTAGCTCAAATTTTTTAGTGCTTATAGAGTGTGTGTTTGCGTTGTCTTGTGTAGATTTGTGGAGATATTCACGGCCAGTTCTACGACATGAAGGAGCTGTTTAGAGTAGGAGGCGACTGCCCACAGACGAATTATTTGTTCCTAGGCGATTTTGTTGATCGAGGATTTTACTCGGTGGAAACGTTTCTCTTGTTGTTAGCTTTAAAGGTATGTGAGACTTTTGTGGCGTTGTTTTACTGAGTTTTCGTGTAGGTTCGTTATCCCGACAGGATCACTCTTATAAGGGGAAACCATGAAAGCCGGCAGATCACGCAGGTACAAATTCCGAGTATGTCTTAGATCTTGCTGCAGTGATTTTTATCTTTCTCTTGTGTTTTATACTTTTTTTTTTCTTCTTCTCGTTCAGGTTTATGGTTTCTATGACGAATGCCTTCGAAAGTATGGATCCGTAAATGTATGGCGGTATTGCACAGACATATTTGACTACTTAAGGTGACAAGAAAGTCAAAAGGAGAAAAAGCAGCACTGATCGTTTGTTGTTTTGCAGTCTATCTGCGCTGATCGAGAACCGCATTTTTGGTGTGCACGGTGGCCTCTCTCCCGCAATCAACACGATTGACCAGGTAGCCAGCTGAAAAAAAATTTCGTAAAAAGAGCTCTTGAGGTTGAATTTACTCTCGTGTGTAGATCAGGACAATCGACCGAAAGCAGGAAGTCCCGCACGACGGTGCAATGTGCGACCTCCTCTGGTCCGATCCCGAAGACATAATTGGGTGGGGAATCAGTCCGAGAGGCGCTGGTTTTTTATTCGGAGGGAACGTTGCGTCGGCGTTTAATCACGCCAACAAGACGGAGATCATCTGTCGGGCACACCAGCTGGTCATGGAAGGCTTCAAGTGGATGTTTAACAAGCAGGTCGTGACGGTGTGGTCGGCTCCAAATTACTGCTACAGGTAGAGAATAATTTTCTTCTTCGAAGTTCTTATTCTCCTCTTTCTTTACTTTTTTTCTTTTTTCGTTTTTGCATTCCAGATGCGGGAATGTGGCAGCGATCATGGAGCTGGACGAGAACTTGAACTCGAAGTTTCAAGTATTCGAGGCCGCTCCTCAGGTGAAGCTACTCTTTATAAACTTTTGCTTATCAGAGAGAGCATATCATGCTAACGAGGATCAAAGTTTTTGAATTGGCAGGAAGCCAGAGGAGTGCCATCGAAGAAGCCAGCGCCAGATTATTTCCTGTAACAAAACGAGACCAACCATAGCCGGATCATCATCATCAAGAGCTACTATTCTTTTGTTCTTCTTGTCGTCGGGAAAACAGGTATCCGATGTGTAGCGTAGCGGAACGGGCTTGTGTACTATTATGACTTTTAACAGTTTGAGATGAGCTGTGCATTCTGTCCAGACGAAAGCTCCAAAGGCATGGCTGGATGGATTAAAATCTGAGCAAGCGAGAAAAAGCTTGAAAACCAAGTTGGTGGTAAGTGGCAGAAGTTTTTTTTCTTTTACACGCCGCGTCTTTCGTTTCTTCTCTTCTGCTTCCGAGCTTTTAGTTGGCATTGCCACGAGAACGATGGCGATGCTTCTTCGGTCACTTGAGAGTATAGAAGGTTCTTGGTGGAGAGGTGTAAGTACACACAGTCTTTTCACTTGTGTCTCTTGCTAGCTTCGTCGCGCAGCCTTAGTAAAATGAAAGTCGAGAATCTGACCAAAGGCGTCAATCCTGCAAAAGAAAGAATAGAATGTCCACTTTTAAGGAAAGACTGAGAAAGCCAGAAGCAAAGCAGCCATACCTTTTTATGAAACTCTCAGTGTGTGTGTGTGTGTCGCAGCACAGAGATGGACTTTATGAATGGCCAGTAGTACCACCAAACTAAGAAAAAGAAAAATCCACAAGATAAGCAGCAGCAGCATTGGCAGCAGCAGCAGTCGCGATGAATGGATCGAGAAAAAAAAAAAACGAGAGCCTGCAGCGAAGTTATTCCTCGGCTAGAAAAGTTAAAAGGCAAACCGGGAGCGCCGAGCGAGCGAACGTGTCGTAGGAGAAAGAAAGTCTGGGAGTTACGGAGAGACGTAGTCGTTCTCCAGGACTGGTCTGGTGCGAGTGCCTCCGGCAGCGGGAGCTCGGCTCCCACCAATAAGTGCTGTTTGGAGGCTTTCGCTGTTGTCCGCGCAAAGCTCCATCTTTGCAATGCGAGCTCTCCTCCTCGTCCTCACCCCGGCGAAAACCAGCACGGCCGCCACCATCACCAGGCCGATACCCCCGACACCAATCCCCACCCCGAGCTTCCACGCCTTTGACATCTTTCTCCTCGCGTTCCTCCCCGTTGGTGGCGGGACGATCGAAGCCACCGGAGCCGACGCTGGGCCTCGATCCGGAGCAAGAGCTTGGGCTTGTTCCGGAGATGGAGCTGGAGCTGGAGCTGGAGCTGGCGGCAAGGACGACGCTGCCACGGCCAGGGACGAGTCCACCAGCTGCGATAGAACGCAGGAGTTTGGCGGAGAGCTCACGTTGGCCACCCGGAACGTCCCCTCCTTGTCGAAAGATGCGCACAGCGGGGAGAGCTTGCCGCTGCTCCTGGCAAGAACTGGAACTCGGACTGTGATAGCCGTCGGCCCCGAGAAAACGTTGAGCTCTTGAGGTGCCGGGTGGGAGAGATCGTTGCCTTCGTAGGCCTTGATCCCCACGACTGGGCCGACGAGCTGGAATCCATCGGGCATGGCCGCCGGATACGAGCTAAAGTCGCGGTAGACGAGCACCACGTACTTGCTCGTCGTCTCCACCAGGCATTGGACTGGGATGGTGAACTCGTTGAAGACGAGGCCGTGGCGCCGCAAGCTCCCTGATCTGAGACGCACTGCCTGGATGCTGGCCACCACTCCAGAGGAGTTCCTCGATCCAGAAGCGTCGAGAGTTACGTTGTAGATGACCCCTGTCTTGGGCAGTGGAGCCAGCCTCTGGAAAGCGGAGGATTGAATGCCGAGATCCAGTTCCTGGATGATCGTTGGCTGCTGCTGTGAATCCACTCCTCCCAGAATTCCCAGCAGCATTAAACACGCTAGAGAAAACGAGCTTCTCTTCTCCCAGGCCACTCTCTTTTTGTAGCGTTGATGAGATCCCATTGACTTTGCGCCTCTACTGCTTCCCTCTTTTTGTTCTTCTTCCTCTTTACGCATCTATATAGCTCCCCTTCTTCCCCCCTCTCTTCTCCAAGAAGGAAGACAAATATTTTCTTCTCTCTCGGAGCTCTTCCTCCTCTTTCTCGCGATGATCCGCAATGCTGGATGACTTGCTACTCTAGCCGAAGAAAGAATACCTCCATGCGCTGCGATTCGGTCGACGATCAGACTCAATTGCAATGCCGCCGAGAGAGAAATCCCCGCCGCGCAGGGAATCGATCGATCGAGCTGCTGCCTCTCCAAAATACTCGCTGGATCTCTCGCCACGGACGGATCCACGGAAAGCCGCACGAGTGGCGAGCGCAAAGCCCTAAGAAGAACCCTTTGAATGAACTAGCGGCGATCTTTTTTTACCCCACGGGAAAAAGAAAAGAAAGTACCGGGTAAGTAAAAATGCCGAGTTACGAGGAATCGAGCCTAGAACCTTCTTTTTCTTCTTCTATCACATCATGGAAACAAGCAGAGAAGGCTGGATGGAGTGTATGTGATCATATCGAGAGAAAAAAAAGAGTCCAAAGAAGATCTAGTTGCTTTACATTGTTAAATCTTTGCCTGAAAGCTTGGATCTTTTGATCGATCGAAGCTCTGGAGCTTGCAATTCACGACGATCCAGGAGCTGTGACGCTGCTGTGTTGAGCTTCCAAGAACTCGAGCTTTCTCTCCAGGGCGGTGAGCTTGTCATTGAGAATCGCGATCTTGTTTCGCGTGGTAGACTCTAAACGAAGATGTTAGAGTCGATGATGGCTCACTGGAGCAAGATCTAAGAATGTAGGCTCAAGATTTCTCTAGGATCTCTAGTAATTCTTGCAGGAGATAAGAATGTAGCTCCACTAACCGAATTGGAGGACGAATTCGAAGAGCTTGCGGACATTGAGCGCGAGCGCGCCCGTGAACTGGCGATTCTCCCAATCGGCCTGGACGGCCGCACCGAGATTGGCGCTCCCGCCTCCGCCAGCGCCTCCCCCTCGCATCGCCATCGCCATGGGCCCTTAAACCCTAAGGAAAGGGCATAAAGAAGAACCCTAGAAAACAGAGTGGATCTCCCACGTCGCATATTCGTCCATTTGCCGCGACAGCGCTAGGGCCAGGGACTAGGGCTTTTGGGGGAGAAGAAGAGGCCCCTCCTCCTTCTTCCAGGGCGGGGGGATGCTGATCAATGCCGCATGGCGCAGGATTTTGAATCGGAAATTGGTACGTTCTAGTCGCCGATTCTTCTTCGCCGCTGCGCCGGGCGCTTGCCCGATCGCGCGCCTTGGAATTCGCGGCCTGCCGGTCCCCGAGGCATCAGGCATTGGCGGCCGCTCGTCGCTACGGCTCGTGGCAGTCCAGCGCCTCGCCGAGAAGGCGGATTCCAATGGATCGAGCAAGGGTAAGGACGAGAGCAGCAGCAGCTTTAGTCTATCCAAGCCATCGCCAGGGAATGCGATCGAAGAGGGTTTTGAGGAGCTTCACGCAAAGGAGAAGAGAGGCTTTGGTGGTGGACTGCGGTATCTTTCAGCCGGGATAGGCTTCGCAGCGCTGTTCTTCGGGGCGGGGATGGTGGTGAGAGAAGAGAAAGAGCCCCCCATCTCTCTGGCCTCGCTCGAGAAAGCTGCCCGGGATATTGGCAGGCTCGTCATCTCGACGCTGGAGACTCTGTCCAGTCGGATCAGCAGCACCATGGGAGAAGTGATCGACGCTGGAGCTACTGCTCTTGTTCTTCTCCAGGGATTAAAGTCGGTGTTGGAATCGTATGGAGAGGGAGTGACCAAAGGATGGTGGAGAGCGAAGGTGGCGGCGTTCATAGCGGACGTCTCCGCTGCTGGGGGCGACAGGAGAAAAGCAGTGGTTTGTGCCAGCGATGGAGTTGTGGTGGATTGGCTGCTCGAGACCGCCGCCAAGAGCCAAGGTCCCGGCTCCACTGTGACTCAAGGGGAGGCTGCAAGGGCCCTGTCGTATCTCCTCGAGGACGAAGCGACCTGTGAGAGTGTCCTGGCTCGTCCACACGCGCTACCAAATCTCTTGCGCTTTGCTGCCTCTCTTCCAGCTAACTTTCGACCCAAGGTATGTCACGATGGAGTTTATACGTGTGATGGAGGACTCAAAGCAATTATATTTCGCAGACGTCCAAACATCGGAGAAAGCTCGCGGATATTGGAAGCTCTAGAGGAAAGAGCCAGCTAGTTGCAGCCATCATGGAAATCGTCACGGAAAGCTGCGAGCCAGTCGAGAACCATGAGTTTAGACCTTCGCTTCCAGGGAGTGCTGATCCTGCGGACATAGCGGCAGCTTTGGCTGCTGTAGAAGAGGGCGGACTGAAGCTAGATGATGACTCCAGAGACGACGACAGAGGCAGCATTCACGGCATTGGAATGAAGCTCAGTGGCACTACGGGGATAGTTGCAGTGCAGAGACTGGAACACGACTTCCATCAGAGGTGGTGGACGAAGATGAAAGATAGTCTGTCCTTTTTTAGCGATAAGAACTCGCTAGCGCTTTCGTTGGTGGACAAAGATCCAGACAAGGACCTAGTTGGCTATGGTCTCTGGGACGACTTGCAAGGAAGGTTTGTAGCAGTTCCTCTGGCCGCATGGGCTTTAGCAACGTGGGCAGAGTCTTCGGCTGCGAATCGGAATCATATTTCGAGGCTCGACAAGGATGGTCAGGCGTTGCTGGCCGCGGTTTTGGCTCCGGAAAGAACTGTTAAGTGGCACGGTGCGCGGACAATGCATTTGCTTCTCGACAACAAGAAGGTTACTTCGGACGAGGTAGTCTCGACATGGAGCTCCGCATTATTGGATATGGCAGTGCAGGCTTGCGGCCACCGCGACTCAACACTCGCGGAGTCGGCTTTTTCGGCATTTACTGCCTGCTTCAAGGAAGGAAGGCCGTCGCAAATGAGCACCTTTGAAAAGGGTTTTCCTGCCATCCGGGAGCTTGCTAGGCAGACCAAGGAAGAGGCTGCTATCCAAAAATCGATCGCCAGGACACTTGACACAGCCATGCAAAATGGACTCTGCTTGGGGCCCGATGAAAGTAAGAGGTGGTCGGGAATCCTCCTCCGTTGGTTGTCCAGCTCTCAGCCAGACACAGAACTTCAGAGGTCCGCCACCTCTATCTTTGGGAAGGTGATTGACTCGCTGGGAACGGACGGTATTCCGGCTTGCCAAGCGCTGTTGGCTTCTTTGCTACTGGGACTTATCAAACACGGGAAGTCTCCTGCTGCCATTCGGAAGGAAGCCAAAGCTAAAGGTCTACTACAGGTAATGCGTAAACCAACGTGTTGATGAAACTAATTCAACTGTTTTTGCAGTCTCAATTGATGCAGACGGCGGTTCAAGCTGCGACTCAGCTAGGAAAGATGGTTTCGGTCGAGGCGAGAGCAGACGTTGCAATATCCGAGTTTGCAGGTGAGTTGCCTCTCGCGGACTTACTTGGAGCAGATATTGTTCCCAACGTGCCACTTCCGAAAAATGGTGCTAAGGAGCTGCCACCCAAGTTTACTGTCGTCGAAGCGGCTCACGCGGTCATCAAGGCTCTCAAAGCTCTAGCAGATATTTCGGCCGAAGACGCATCGTATCAAAAGAGAATCATCGAAGCTGGAGGACTCATTCTACTCAGAAGGTTGATGCTAGCAGATGACTACGAGCAGTGGTGTTTTCTGGATGCCTCCTCGGAGAAGGATTGGAGACTACAGGCTTTGAAAGACAAAGAGGCTGCAGAGGTGTCGGAACTGGCTTCACACATGAGAAAGCATGCTGCACGGCTGCTTACCGTCCTAACTCAGCATCCGGAAGTCACACAGGCTGTTGCTGATGACAACGAGTGGTGTTCATGGCTAGGAGACTGTGCTGATGGCGTCGTCCCGGGCTGCAATGATCTCAAGTCTCGAAGCTATGCACAGATGACGCTACTCAACGTCGCACACTCAAGAATCCAGAAGACGCTGAAGGGATTTGGGAGGGACCTGGTTGATGGAGTATGGCCACGATACGAGGACATGGTATTCTTGCTAAACTTCGACTCCAAGTTTTGGAAAAGCGAAGGAGTCGCCAAATTGTCAGCGGAAGCTCTGAGTCCAGACGGTTCCGCGCAAGAAGTTGCTGCCGAGCGTCCGAGCTCTCCTGCTTCCGGCGATCTATCGTCTCCTCTTTTGGACGTGGTTTTCATTCACGGACTTGCTGGTGGACCGATCAAAACGTGGCGTGTAGCTGTGGACAAAACCTCGACGACAGGAAAGGGTGGCCTTGTGGAGAAAATTGACGAGCAAGCGGGGAGGGAAGGGACTTGTTGGCCGTCAGAATGGCTGTCACATGATCTACCTAGAACCCGGTTGCTCAGTCTCAAGTACAAGGTTGGTAGTAGTATCAATCTTTGGTTCCTGGATTACTGAAGTGCTTGTCTGTGTAGGTACTGTTGTATCATTTTCTATGCGGGCTCTGAGTGGTACTTGTATGATGCAGACGAACTTTTCCGAGTGGTCAGGAGCAACGCTTCCGCTCGAGGTGAGAAAACAAAGAGGGAGATTATACTTAACTCTTGTTACTCAGGAAATTAGCTCGGCGCTTCTCGACAAGCTGCTAGCAGCCGGTGTAGGAGAGCGCCCCGTGGTCTTTATCTCCCACAGGTGAGACTTTTCAGCATAAAAACTCTTTTTAACTTTGCTTTGCAGTATGGGAGGTTTGGTTGTAAAGCAAATGCTCGCACAAGCTGCGAAGGACAAGTCGCGAGCTCATCTCGTCGATAAGGCTGCTGGCGTTGTTCGTAAATTTCTTAATTCCCATGCAAAGCAGATGCTGACACACTCACGATCTTTGGTTTTTTGTTTTTGTTTTTGTTTTGGCAGGTGTTTTATAGTTGTCCACACTTTGGAAGCAGATTGGCAGACATGCCATGGCGAATGGGCTACGTTCTACGTCCGGCGCCTTCGGTAAATGGCTTCCAGGCTCTAGCGTTTCCATCTCTTGTGATTTCTTTTTGACAGGTTGCGGAGCTGAGAAGCGGGTCTCCCAGACTGGAGGAGCTCAATCGCTGCATCCGCAATCTACACTACAGAGGGACGCTCCAAGTTCTAAGTTTCAGCGAAGTAAGCTCCAGATGAAGCTTGCAAACAAGAGTCTTACATTTCCTTTATAGACAAAGGTGACGCCGCTGGTGGAAGGCTATGGAGGATGGGCCTTGCGCATGGAAGTGGTACCAATCGAGTCTGCTTATCCTGGTTTTGGAGAATTGGTGGTGAGTAAAAATACCTCTCTTTTCCTCTTCGTTTTGACACACTCCACAGGTGTTGGATGGAACCGATCACGTCAATTCCTGCAAGCCTTTGAGCCCTTCAGATCCCGCCTACACCAAAACTCTGGAGTTTTTGCGAAGGATCCAGGTGAAGATAGTTGAAGACTCGAGGAAAAAGAAGGAACAATAGCAACAACTGTATATAACGCAACCTCTCGAGAAGGAAAAAAGAATTTTGTAATAACTGGCTTGGAAGTTTTGTTGGCTATCTCGACCAAAATGTTACACCGAACTCCTGTACTCTCTTCTCTCTCATTTCATCCACTTTGGAAAAACAGATGGGAAGTGTTTTAATCCGACTGTTCCGCATGCTCCGAATCATGCTCCGAGCCATGCTCCGAGTCGGACGATGCCTGGTATGCCTCAAAAGTTACGCTGCGTGAAGCACAAGAGTTTAGTTAGACAAATCCACAAGTGCGATTTTGTTTACCAGATTGTGCCGTAATGCTGATCTATTTGCTCCTTCAAATCTTTCTCCCTAATTCCCTTCAAGTTAAGGGAGCTGCAAAACGCATCAAACTGCAAACAAAGGAAAAGTATGGTGAAGACCGCCCTGAAAGAAAAACTGCCGAGAGGCCTACCTCTTCTTTGTCACTATAGAAGCTCCATTTTGTGGAGTCTTCATTCTCTATGAAGATTCGTGGCTCCCTGGGGAAAAACCAATAACGGTTGAAGTCACGGTCTACGCCTAAGTATATGTTCCTCAGCGGGCATTTCGAAGTATCCGCGTCCTGGTTACACACGAAGTATTAGCTCCTCACACACATTATCAAATAGGGAACAAAGAAGTATTACCTCTTTTTGCTTCTTCTTGGCTACGGGTTTCTTTTTCCTGTCACACGAAAAGCTCAAGACAATGAGAAGAGTGACCCTCACAAGCAAGCGTCTCTAGTCTCTAGCACGTACCTTTTAAATGATTTGAGTAGCTTGGAGGACCCGTTCGTCCCCGCTAGATGCTCTCCTACCGGAGGCTCGTCGTCGTCTTCGTCCTCGATCTCAGGCGAGGCTTGCTTCTTTTTGCTGTCCTTCCTGCGTGGGATGTGCTCATCGAGCTGACCCCTCACAACGATGGAGCTGGCGCTCGGCTCGGTCAAGTCGTGCAATATCTCTAGCCTGGCCAGAGGCTCTAACTCCGAATAATCGCCCAGCCTTATGGAAGACGCGTACGGCTTTGTCTTGTCCGAGCCAATGAGCTCAAGAACATCAGCGAGGTCGTCCTTCCACGTCTCCGGCAAAATCTGCGACCAACAACCAGAGGTGAGTGATAGAAACAGTGAAGGAAAGCTCACCTGCAGCTTGCGCTTTCCCTTTTTATCCTTCCTTTTGACCTGGAGCTTCTCGCACAAATTCGTGTTCGAGAGTATCGCCTTTAGTAGAGCATGATGAACTTCTTCAAGGAGCGGGCATTCTTCTTCTTTGCTGCACAAGGCCTCCTCGAAGTCGTCCAACGTGAACTGCGTGATTTCCAACGACGTGGCGAAGGCACTGCAGAAGTCCCAGACCATCAGCAAATGGCCAACGCACTCAGCCGGTAATGAGAACTCGGAAGAAGGAGCGGGGCGTTCAGAAGGTGGCGGCAACAGCTTGTCCTCGATAGGATACTTTTGTTTACTCCCTGGAAGTCGATCGGTTAGAGACATAAACAAAAAGCCAGCGAGAAGAATAAAGTTCCTCGTACCATCTGTACTTTTCTTCCGCTTATTGTTTCCATTGCTTTCCACGCTATCATCGTCCGAGTTCTTCCTTTTCACTCCGTTGCGTACTTTAGATCCACCATTGCACATCTCACGAAGCTGCATCACCTAAGATCTTCTAGTAAGTACAATGAAAACGAAAACAAAGAGTTACTCACATCACTGCCGTCAGCGCTCTCCTCTTCACTCGTAGGATGCAAGGCCACATTGTGGAGACGAGCAAGGTTGTCATGCACTGCCCAGCGGGATTTCTTGCTCACTCCAATGAACGCCGACTCCCGTATGAAAGACTTGAGCAAGCACTTGGTGAGGGGATGCTTCTTCCGCCGGAGGCTTTGCACGTTTATGTTGTCAGTGCATTTCACCTTGCCGTCGCTCTTTATAAACGCCACCTCGTAAGAGCAGCTGCAATTGTCGGGCTCGCATTCCTGGTTCTCCTCCAGCACTCGAAGAATTTTGCATGTGCGCACGGATCCATCGCAGACACCGTCTAGAACCTCTCCCTCTACAAAATGGTCCTTGAACCTTTTGTGGATCCTGTCCACCAGATCGCTAACACAGGAGGGACCTGAAAAGGAAAGAAAGAACAAGCAAACGTAAATCAAAAGCTCTTAAAAGAATCCAAAGTCTCGAAACTTACTGAATTGGACCATTCGAAGGACAGGCCCGATAAACTCCTTGGGAAAATTCTGCACAAGCTCGCTGGCTTTGCTCTCAGAAGAGAGCGCTTGCTCATAATCTAGATTGGTCTTTCCGGTCACCTTGCACGTCCAGACCTTTTGCCGGTATAACTTCATCCTATTGAGATACTCCCTGCCAAGAAAGAAAGAAATTCTAGTTACATCCCCATCCCAGCAAAGAGCAAAGAAAAACAAACCAAAAAACCAATCGCGCAAAGCAAAGAAACAAGGAAAGAAAGAAAAAAACCAATCCCGAGGAAGAACTTACTGGTAGTCCCGGAAAATCTCCTTTGTGAATCGCACCTGGAACACCTCCTCATTGGGACTGATGTCCGCGGGGACCTCAGCTAGCGGGAATGCTGACCTCTTGTAGAGCGGCATCACGCAGCGCTCCTCCTCCTCCTCGCCAAAGGATTGCGACTCATGTGGTGTGGCGCAGTAGCATCGATGGCGACGACGCCCGCCGAGAAACGCTGCCGCTGCCTCTACCCTAGAACAAAAAAATCCACACACACACCCAAAGGGCGACGAAACTACTCGACGCGATTATATGGCCCAAAAGGGGAAGCGCGGAAGAGAAAAATTCCTCCCTTTCTTGTCTTGCTCCTCTCCGGATTGCGCGACGACGCGCGCGCAAGGGCGGCGATGGGAGAGAGAGAAGCGCGAAATCTTCTTCTTCTTCTTTGCGCAAAAATAAAGAGGAGGAGAATTTCCAGTGTTGCCCTAACCCTTGACTTTGTTTGACTATAGGGCTCTGCTTTTTTAGGGCTCTTGGGCGGGATGGTCCCGGTGGAATGGGTGGATGCCGACGAGTGGGCGGCCATCGAGCTCGCATTGAGCGCCGTGGAGCCCAGATCGGACACGCTGGCAGGGCGACGCGGCATTCAACCCCAGGAAGCGGCGATGGCGAGCGATGAACGTCCCGACGCGAAGAGGGTACGTAGGCAGCTGCCTGCTTCGTGGCTTACTCCTCCTGTTAGTCAATGTGAGTTTCTCTAGCAGTATGATCTTGCTGCTTTGCTTGCATTGCTCTTGATTGCTTTGCAATTCTTTTTCTCCCTCTCTCTCTGTGTTTATTTTTTTTGTTGTGTTTTATTTCATTCGTGCTTGTAGATGGAGCGAAGAGCAAATTGCCTCGTCTGGAATTCAAGGGAAGGATTGTCTACTCGAGCACAGCGGAGGAGGCCGAGAGTGCCGCTGCCGAATTGCTGCAAAGCATTGAGTCCTTGAAAGCCGACGGCACACGGGACATAGTCTTGGGATTTGACACCGAGTGGAAGCCTTCATTTGAACGAGGTAAAGAGATCTTTGCCAAAGAATTCACTTGGTTTTTACTCTCCTCTTTGACGCAGGAGCTGTGCCCGGAAGAACTGCAGTTTTGCAGCTGTGCCTGGACAGCTCTCGGTGCTACGTTTTCCACATTTTCCACTCGGGAATCCCTCCACAATTACAGAAACTCCTGGAAGAAGAAACAATCTGGAAGGTATCCTAGAGGTTCGATCAGCTTCTTCTTTCTTAAATCCTTTCAGGCTGGTATAGGAATAAGTGGAGATGTCTCTAAACTGAAGCTCGACTATGGCGTCACTGTGACTGGGAGTGTCGACCTCTCCGCCTTGGCGAATCAAAAGCTCAAAAGAAGTCAGAGCTGGAGCCTGTCAAGCCTCGCGGAAGAACTTACGTGCAAAGTGATTGACAAGCCCACGGACATTCGATGCGGTGACTGGGAGCTCCAGCCTTTATCTCCAGCACAACTTAGCTACGCTGCCACTGACGCTTTCGCATCACTCCATCTCTATCAGGTACGTAATGAAGCTCTCCTTCAAAATCGCAACTGAACGTTTCTGTTTTGCACCAGGCGCTTGCTAGTTTCTCCAATCCAGTGATCCAACAAAGTCCCAGCGAACAAAAGTAATACTTCATCTACGGGTTTCCCAGTGTCAAGGCATGACCACGGCGGAAACTCTAAGAACAGTTGTCCAAGGCTCCGGGTTACGATCATCAGCACCACCAAGCACAGTGCGTTTCTCTGCGTTTTTTAGCTCTCCGCTCCGGCTGAGAAGATCTACAAGAATGCATCCGACGCAACAATGCGATGGTCTTCCACCATTCTAGCGAAACAGGCGAAATTCGTCAAGCAAACCAGACGAGGAAAGAAACCTGGTTTGGCTCGACACCATCAAGCTCAGTAGCTGCAAACTCCTGCCTTCTCCAAGGCGTGTGAGGCCACCATGGCCGTCCACAGGACCACATTTCTCTATCTTCCAAATGCCCATTTTGGGCATGCTTGAAACAATATTGTCCATGATATAATATTGGGCTCTTTGATGCCATGGAGTTTCAAAGGTCTGTTTTGATTTCTCTAAATTCTGGCAAATGCATGTGTGCGTCACATAGAGAGAGACAAAAAGCCTGCTCTATGTTTCCAATCGGATGCAAGCCAACAGCATTGTGTTGCAGCACAGCCTACATTGAATCAAACACTCACTTTGCAGTGCCAAAATCACCCCCAAGTGGCATGATGTTCCACGAGAAGTTCTAGCATCTTGCTAAACGTATATTCTGCAGCATATGCCTGCAACAGCATCGAAAAGATTCCGGGCATCTTCTGCGGGCACAATTTAAGAGAGAGAGTTTTCTACAAAGTGGATATGCTGAAAGAATCCCAACCACCCAAGCTGGGAATATACTCTAATACCCGAAGCGCATCCTCCACATAGATCATCTCCCATTTTGGGAAAAGTGTCGAATGCGAGTCCTCTTGTGTCATGGAACAGTAAACTTACTGCATTGTTTCCTGCAACGAAGTCCAGGGACAAGGCAGCATGTCCCAATTAGAAGCACTAAGCGTTACAATCGATTGCAGCATCACTTGCGGGATATGTGGCAATGGTAGTGAGGGAGAAGCCACGGAGAGTGCTATCCAAAGTAATCCAGAGTATATTACGAATGCTGATTCCAAGTCTGTAGCAAGGCGAGGCTCACAAGTAGTTAAAAGTTTGCAAAAAGAAGCAATTCTCCTGCGTCTGACTGTTACAAGACCGGAATTGACAAACCACATTTAAAATAAGTTCATTTTCTATGTCAGTTTCAAGAAAAACTTACGTCCTTATTGTACAATCTAGAAAGACTTCAGCCTCGTTGATAACATTCTGTTTCAAAGAGACCCCTTGCCTTGCAAGGTTCCATTCATGCCACCAAAACTGGTTGACAGTGACTCAAATGCCACCACCTGCAGTCATGACAAAACTCAGCTGATCCAAAATTCAATCACTTGAGTCTGCTCGGCCTTGCATGAGCCCTTATGTCCTTCTTTATCCAAGCTGCTCAAGCATTGTTGGCAGATGGAACGTAGGAATGCTGAAGGCTTGGGGATAGCCAGGGTGAGTATTTCAAACATTGGAACTTTTTATTGGTTGCCAACGTCGGTGAGACTTTTTTTTCTCCAGACCTCATTATGGCACTGCAATCAAGTATAATAGCCCATGGAACCACCAGGGCTGTTCTCGTATATGTAAGAACTTCCAATTCGATTGGATTGTGCATTGGAAGAACAATGTTGGACACCGTTCAGACCCCTTCTTCCAAGTTGGAAATTCTATTCGATTGGATGTGCGTTGGAAGCAAACCTACTCTTGTCTATACACGTAAAAGAAAAGCAAGCTCACAAAGCACACTTACCAAACAGTCACTATGACACAATGGTTGATTCCAGCTCATAGCCATGGTTGTGGGCTGGCTGGCCCTTGATGTCTACCATGGCTTAGCCTTAATGGTTATGGGATGCTTGCCATTCTGAAGAGATTATGAAATATTCTAGCTTGAACCTAGCTATAATTTCTACGGAAATATCTACGAGACCAGGCTAGCATAGAAATGCACTTCTTGTGGCCACGACAAAACTTATTAAGAAATATTGACAATCAATCATTGGGATCTCATAGGCTCCTTAAGCATTTCCACACTCACATACATCCAAAGAGCAGTGATTGTCTTTGGATCCCACCATCTATATAGTGAGAAGGAATTGTATTCGAGGATCAAGAGCATGAATATACTCCTGCCAAAGTTCCAACTAGATTAGATCAGATCTTGTTTGCAACATTAAGCATTCTGGAAGAGGCGATTGAGCACAAGATCAATCCATCTAGATCCCCTAACCCCAAAAGGGTCCTACCAAGGACGAAACACCACTTGAACAGTGAGAATGCAGGTCTAGTAGGCCATTTACAAAATGCTAAAACGCTAATCTACCATGACTATAACGATCTTGGTTTGGCCAAGTTGCAACCCTAATAGCCATAACCATTCATCATACTTTTTTTATAATAAAATTTTACTTATTGTAAGGGGTGTAAGGTTTGTAAATACATGTATATATATACATATATTGGCTAGGTAATATACTAATTATAATATTATAGCATATTTATAATATTTATAATATTGGGATTAAATCTAATCCATCCATTTTTGTATATAAACAAAGATTTAAACCCTAATTAATATACTTATTCTTATATCCCGAACATTCACATTGGTGGAAGTGAGTGGTATTACAATTTATTCTTGAAAGGCAAAACTTTTTGGCAATACTTTACTCTAATGTTTGGGATTGTGTTTTTTGTTCTTATTTCTTCATTCTCTTTTAAATCTAGATCTATATTAGCTTTTTACAAAATCTAAAACTCTAGCTATTATTGTGTTTAAATTTATTTTTTCATTTGATTTGTTTAAATTTAAATTTACAACATTCTCTTCTTTTACCATATCATATTATCATTGATCAAGGAGTATCTCACTTGAGGCTACTAATGTTGCTTCATCGAATTGAACTTTTGGTGTTGTAAGATATGATTATATTAGTGTTGCACATCTTTGATGTGTTGCCATCTTCAACTTTTGTGTAATGTGATTACACAATTTGTTTTGTTCTTGGTGTTCTACCATTTCCCATTAATGTGGAGTATAATCATGACATCTATTGGCGAGCTTGTAATCTAGTTCTTGAAGAATGTTTAAAGATTGAGTGTATGGGAAAATGATGTATATGAACTCAAGTGGATTTCAAATCATTTTGATAAATTTGATTATTATGGAAATAGCTTTAAAGATGAAATAGAGATTTCATAGGGTAGGTATCAATTATTCAATTTGCCATTTGATCCTTTCTTTTTACTTTTTCTTCTTTCCCAATCCTTTTTTATTTCTTAGCTTGAGCCACCTTCTTATATTTTTAGTGTTTCTTCCTCATCTACAGTGTTTCCTTTTCATAGCATGTCAATCATTTATGACTCTCATGATTTCATTTTTAGTCTAGCATTGAGTTGAGTATTTTCTATCCTTCTCATACTAATCTAAATGTTGAGCATGTGTGGGAAGTTAAGAATCTTAGTTTTGTTTCTTTGGCAAAGTTTTTAATCAATTCTAGTGTTAAGTATTCCTTTGTTCCAAAAGTTAAGTCACTTTGGCTAAAGTTTCAAGTTAAATGCATATCACTAATTGTGAGTGCCAATTAGAGCCTTTGTTTTATTGTTCTTACTAAAGAGTTTATGTGTTCTTTTGAGAGTGTGGACATTTCTATTAATTTTCCCATCTCAAATGTTGAGTTATGTGTTAAGGAGGTTGAACAATGTGAATCTTTTACTTCTCTCATACTGCCTGAAGTATTTTATAATAGAAAGTTTTATGTTTTCCAAAGCTTTAAACATATGTCCTTTTTATTTCCTCGTTTTTGCATTGACAACTACTAAAAATTCCTCTTCTTTATCCTCTTTCACACTATTTCTTTTTCAATTTTTTTTGCTTTCTTATATTTTCTTTAACATTTCAAACTTTTTTTTCTTTGGAGGGGGTAGAGGAAACAGATAGGAGTTCGGCCCCAACAATAGAGTGAAGATGAGTAGATACAATAGTAGAGTGAGAATAAATAATATAAATTGTGAAGTGAGGATGAGCATAATGATTATAAACAAAACATCCAACCCCAATATAATGAGGTAGAACAAATGCAATAGTGGAGTGAGGTTGAACATAAATGTTAGAATAAAAACAAACAAAACAAAGTATATACTTTAGAACTTTTTTTCTTTTAAGGAAAGGATAAGAAGGATGTGGAGGATAAATGAAGTTAGTCTAACCTCCTATATATAGTGTTAGGCAAAGATAATAATTGTGAGTTTAAGTTAATATTGGTCTCAAATGTTGACTAAAGGGAAGACACAAAGGTAGGTTCTACTTATAGTTTTAAATCCAAATTAATGGTGGTTTTGGAGGATTGTCGACAGACAAATTTAGAGATGAGATACATTGTTTACTGCAATAGTGTTTTATAAACTATAGTGGCTCTCAAAATTCCTTATTTCAGTTCAAAGTTATGGCTTTGTGGTTGTTTTGAGCATTCAGGAGCTATATACGAAGTTGCAATTAGTTCATCAAGATTTTGTAGTTGACTAATACTTATGCCATAGCTTTGGGTTTTATTTCAATCATAGTTGTCAACAATTTTATTATTGGTTTTATGAGAGTTTTAGATTCTTATAATAGTTTATAATCGCCCAACAAAAATTCCAGATGTTCCACCTGACTTATTATTATCACCTTTTCATCTTCCAGAAGAGAGGATTGTGTTGTAAGCAACCAAAGAGAATGACTTGAAAGACGATCCATAAGGTTCAAATATAGAGGGAAAGAGATCATGAATAAGAGTGCACCCCTTTTTCCAATCGGTTAAAGGTCTTGGGATATTTGGGGTTAAGCGTCCTTGGGTTTGAATAGTACTGGGTTGGGTGACCTCCTGGAAAGTCTAAACTCAAAAGGTTACATTTGGTATTAGAGCGGTCTCATGGAAAGTCTAAATTCAAGAGGTTACATTTGGTATCAGAGCGGTCTCAGGTCCGACTCTGTTAATTGGCTAGGGGAATCACAGGTCCGACTCTGTTAATTGGCTAGATGCTTTATTTCGTTAAAGTGGGACTTTTCATTATCCCACTTATGGTGTGTGGCCACATGCCATTTTTATAACAACAATAAAAAATTGAAGTTTTAACTTTATAATTTATAAATTAAAAACTTTTCATATGATTTTGTGTTATAATAATGTGAAATATAAAAAAATAAATTAAAAAACTGATAGAAATATTAATAAATATTAATTAAGTACTAGGAAATGGCATGTGGACACATGCTAATTAATGTCCCACTTTACTGAATAAGTCCCACTTTAACGAAATAAAGCATCTAGGGGAATCACACCACATGTTAATTAACATCTAGCTGGTTCAATTTGCTCTCACTGGGTCCGACTCTGTTGGTTGACTAGAGGAATCACACCACATGTTGATTA